CAAGTTTAATGATCCTTTAACAGATAGATATCTTTAATAGATAGATACCTTTAACAGATATCGATAAAAGTATTATAAATGTGTTGTGTGCTTATTCAAATTAATAATACATAAATACGAAATTTCATTTTTTTTTTAAGTAATGCATTTTTTATTGCTATTCAATTGCCTTCGAGCTAAAGCCTTATCGTGGAAACTTTTACAGTTATAATATCTTTCAATAGTTGGCGTCAATATAAATACACGTGTTTGGCATTACTTTGTACGCTCTTTTTGCACGAACATAAACCCATACACGTGTCGTTGCTTGAAAAATATAGTAGAATAGCATAAATAATATATAAACTTTCCCTTACATGTACATGTAATTTGTAAATTCGTAAATTTGAAATTATAAAATACTATTTCATTAAAAACTTTTTTTCTACATTAAATGTGTTTTCTACATCTCATGTGTTCCATTTTTTATGTATAAATCATATAGCATAATTCATGTATCGTACATGTCATAAAGTTGTTAATCAATATTATTATGTTACGATATTTATGTATAAAATATATCTAATGTATAAAAAAATTTTAATTTGATTATGTGCATGTGTATTACGTAAGATATCATTAAAACAGCAAAGATTCGAGAGAGAATTAAAAAATTAAAATATGTAAATTGATTCTATATGACATTCTATATTACATCATCGCTATAAGAAAAATGACTTTAAAAGTTATCAAATGTCATAAACACACACGCTAATTCTATCAATTATAATATATCAATATTCTATATATCAGTAATAATTACATATATTGATTAATTTATAATGGGATATATGTAACGTGTAAATATATAAACAGATATTCTATAAATCTCTGTATCTTTTTTATAAAAGTATACTGGCCGTGTTCCTGTTCCATATTTGTTACTCAGAACATATGTATTTTAAAAATAAGAATAGAGTAATAAGAATATCTTTTTAAGAGAAAGAGAGAGAGAGAGAGAGAGAGAGAGAGAGAGAGAGAGAGAGAGAGAGAGAGAGAGAGAGAGAGAAATATAAAT